TGTGTGGCTGCAGGACACAATGTAACGCCAACTGAGAAGTCGTTGAATATGTCAAGAACTGCGACGTGAGGTCAGGCATGCTGAGTTCTGTATTCATCTGGAGAAGATGCACGTAAGAGAGCGATCCCTATACTACGAGCCCATTCTGAGAGCATCAGAGGATGACTCGACAGAATATCTGACAATCAACATGACAAGCAACCAAAAGGCGTGGATTGAGGCATTAACCCATTCGTGACAATGTCAGCCACCGGTGGCTGACAAAGATCTCACTCGGGCAATGGCATCCACCGTTGGCTGCCGGGTTTCAAATGGAATTTGGAAAGTTTTCTTCCATGAAAAGAATCTTCATACCCTCATTCATCTACGCCAGCCCTGGGCAGAGGAAATCTCCATCCACTCAAATTTTATTGAAGAAAAATCTCCTGACTCTGCTGCTATTGCGCAATCCCGCGCGGTCGCGAATGGGTTAAAAGCTCCCTGAAAGGAGTGGGTTGAGTTGTGGTTACACTTACAAGTGGTTGAGCCCCGTGAAGATGCAGGTCTTATGCTAGGATGAAGAAACTGTAACAAAATCCGTTCTTGTTTCCTTTCCCTTGCCCATTTCGCCTTTTTATTTCATATTTTGCCTAATTTTTGAGCTCAGGGTCCCCCACATTAATTGAATTATTAATGGAAGTATTTTTTGGTCTGCTTTTGCGGAGTCTATCTTTCTGGTAATTACTGAGCGGTTTTTTGAACTTTTGGTCTTGTTTGGTGTTTTATCCATTGGAACATGTCAGACCCACGTTTGGCATTCTATGGAATCGCTTTGCCCCGGTCTGTGGAACTTCAGCTGCAGTGCTCTCCGCGTTTGTTACCTACGGTGCTTCTTTTATGACGTATACGCTCCACTGCTGCCGCCTGTCGCCTGTCCGAGCATTCTCTCTTCTTCCTGGTTTCTTATTTCTTCTCTTTTTACTCCTCTAATTTCTGATCTTCTCTTGTCGTTTCCTTCATCGCCACATAGATTACATTATTGAGAGCGTTATCCTGCTTCGGTGCTGACGTCAACTTGTATCTTCAGAACAGTACTCGTACTTCTTAGGTCTTGCAAGGGAGGGAGAGGGGAAAGTGCGGTTTTTGCATGGATACTAATGCACGTCACATTTCTTCAACATCGACCAAAGTCGAAATTAATTGCTGATTATTTCCACAGCGGATGCGAAATCCGCTGTTGCCAGGGAGGATCGTTTAGCTATGCATATGTTGATTAGAGTTTGATGCTCACGAAATTCCTGGCCTTTGCGATGCATTCAGTAATGCTGGTCGTGAGCCGAGGCGAGCTTAGACATTCTGTTCTCCATAGAATTGCGGCGGAGCTAAAATATTGACTTTTCTGTAGAAGACAGTCCATTTCATCAGAACTAGCTTATTTTACCAAGTCTAAATGTCTGCGGCGGCTGTCAGCGGGATTTTCGATACGACTTTTCGAATCCATGACTTCTTGCAGCCGCCAACTAGAACTCGGTCAGCTTTTCTTTGACGAATACTGAATCTATGGATCCCGAGGATAGGGCCAGGCTTCGTATAATGTATGCTATACATTAAAATTACATATAGTGATCGAAATGAGTTGAAATCGGTCGCGTTAGAGGAACCTCCTATGTAGTGCTAATAACGCTGTAACGAGTTTTCATTTAATTTATTTATATTTACTATTGCACAAATGAGACAAACAAAGTCACATCAAATGGGAAATAGTGGCGCAATAGTGTATAAATATATAAATATATGCATATAAACATAAACAGCAAAATAACACGGGAAGCTTAAGATGACACAGGAATTCAAGGAAAAGCTATGAAAAAAGTTCTAAAAATCTTAATTAAGGCCATTTCGGGCGAATCGATGTAAGCAGCTACATTGCACGAATCGAATGCTACATCGCCTAACAATGTAGGTGAAGTTTTTACAAGCAAAGGCAAGATTACCCACATACAATAACCTCTGTTTCGTGCAGCCAGAAATCCACGTGGCACACGTGGCTAAATTCTCGATGAAAAGATGACATCACGTATGCTTAAAGATGTTCTTGAATCGATGCCACGTCAATGCCACGTCAATTTCTGCAATTGCACAACTTCTGGTCTTTTGAAGGCGAGGTTAGCTACGATCCTTAGATCATTCGACTTTGGTAACTGACCTCACCGAAGCATCGCTTCGGCTTGTCCCATCCGTAGAAATTCGTCAGTGGATACATACAGTTTTTTTGAAGTTATTCACACAGTCTCTGAAGTGAGCGAAAAAATCGCAGTGCCGGGCAATGCTCTGATTCACGCGGTTGTGAGGGTACTGTGTCCACGCTATACACTGCCATGTGTCTGGGCGCTCTTGTTGCGCAATATTTCGTGCGTTCTCGCTCTCTGCACCTGGTCTCTCATTCATAACCCTAAGGCCGACCGAAGTAAAGTTCACGCCCCATACCTTCAAGTGTGTTTCTTGGTTTTTTGTTTCTCCTTTTCAGTTCCACTCATCGTGCGACTCTACGATACCCGAAGGCGTTGAGCTTACTCGTGATCAATTTTCAAAACAGTTCCAGCCAACAGGATTCAGATTTTTTGAGAAGTCTGTCTCACCGAATTATGAGCTGGCTGCTGGCTAGCGGTGGAATCGCAAGCCGTATTGTTGAGACCAAACAATCATTCCCACCTCGGATAACTTTTACTTGCAACATGTAAGTTTGTTTTAAAGGCTCTAGAACTTAGACTTGCAACATGGTACAGTAAATACGCAGGACCCAATCGTATTGTGAATAGTTGTGAATAGTTCGCACATTGGTCAAAGCGTCGCAAGTTCGTACGTTACCGTTGAGCTTGAACTTCGTGCGAGCACGCCGAAAGCGAAGCGGTCAAAGGAACAACTGACAGCTTTCAGGGTGCATCAAAATACAGTAACCTAGATTTGGAAGCAAATATACTGTAAAGCTAGTATCAGAAGCAAGGAAGTAGCATGGAATATCCCTTACATTGAACGTTGAGAATAGCTAATCCTCAGGCTTGATTTCTGGCTCAGATGTCGCATTCGCTCAAGGATTCGATGCCAGCCAGCCCCAACTTGATTGCGTTATAGATCCAAGAACAGGATCTCATGGGACCCTTTTTCAATCGTGTACAAAAGACGAAAGAGCCTGTTCAAGCTGTCACGCTCGAGGGCCATCTGCGATGTTCCACTAAAAACTCTTGCATAACGTAGCTGTTATCTGGATTCTGAAAGCTGGGATCATACAGAGAGCGCTGACGAATGAGCTTCCAGGGATGCTAAAAGGAAAGTTCACATCTGAAAAGGGATATGTATATGGCTTCAAAGTTGAATATATGCCACAATTCTTCAACAGTCATTTCTAGCGTTCTGTACTGTCCACCGAACTATTTACTCAGGCGCTATTGCAGGACATGGCACACCGTGGTGGCAGTGCTTTTAAAACCGCGTGAAAGATCTTTTTTTTTCGGTAAAAGCAGGGCTATGCTTCGTTCGGGGGAGGAAAGACGCCAGGTGCGTAACAGTTTCCATTTTTCCCGCTGCTCGTGTCTCTCCTGGACTTAGTTCTGGGGATAAAAATCCCTTTAAATTTTCTCTGTCTTCCCAACTGGGATTGTCCTGATAAAGGGCCTACATTTAATGTATGTATGTAGGTCAAAGTAAACATGCACTGAAAATGAAGAAACTATATCGTTCAAAACATGTGAATTCAAAGGGGTTTTCGTCCACAACCAGGGTGAATATCGCTTGAGGATTCCTCAACGGCACGTCGAGGATTCTCTGCCCGATCAGACACGATCTCTCGCGCGGACATTCACACTCGCCATGCGCGTGCCGTCTGTGCTCTCCGCGCGGATGTTCACTCTCGGCACTACTCTCGCATGGTAGAGAGCTATGGTCGAGGAAATCCTCGACCGTTATTCACCCTGTCCCCAACCCCTTGAGAGAGGATTGAATCCAGCCCCTGAAGGATGCCCCCGTATCTTCCGATAGTGCCATTACTTATTCATAATCTCTGGTACTTCTTTGCGATCAGCTCGATAAAAATCTTCTTCAGATACCAAGTACAATGACTTGAGCTCTGGAAAGTTCTATGAGGCATGGGACTGAATAATTAGGTATTTCTGTGGAGGGGTCAGTGAACCTTCCTGGATTCTGCGGTGGTGACGTAGTTGTGATACCACGTTCCCAGCGGGACGCATATAATGCTAGTGTACGGTGAGGAAAGCGTGCATGCATTGCTAGTCTTTTACCATATGAACAGTATATCAATGGCGACCATTCATTATTGTCACAAGGATGCTGACCAGTTATTTGCGATGGTTACTGGTATTCGTAACAAAACTTCCTACCCAAATGGGTCTCTAAGCCCACCTTTTGATTTCCGGGAACTTCTTCTACATATTACACCACCGTGGCACCGTATACCTTCACTTATGATTACCCTCCCTTCAAAAAGCCAGAAAGTGTCGGGTGCAGACCAAACACCACAACTGACGACGGCCTCCAAGTAAATCTGGTTAGTAGTGGTTCATAGTGATAGCTGATTTTTGGTAAATGATAGTTGTAATTAGTGACAACTGATAGAATACAACTGCAACAGGCTAATCATTTCATTGGCAGAAAACATTTGCATTTTGTGGAGGCCGTCGTCACTTGTGGTGTATGGTCTGCACCCGACACTTTCTGGCTTTTTGAAGGGGAGGGTAGCTTTCAGTGGTATATTTGTCCTGGTTTATCAGCACCCACACGTATGATGTGATGCGCCGCTTAGCTGAAATCGGTAATCAATCGCCAACTTGAAACTTTAGCAACTTTTTTAACTATTGATCATTTTGCTTTGGTAATTGCTATTTTCCGCCGCTGTTCGTAATAGTTAAAGTTATCACAAGAAAGCTGAATGTGGGCAAAATATTAGGTTGAGCCATGAGTAAGTGCCGATTTTTTCACACCCGCGCCATCCTCTTCAAGGAAATGTTTGTGTTGTTCACAGTACAGCGCTATATGGCTAAGTTAGTATCCTTTCATGTTACGAATTTCGACCGCAAGATCGGCGTTTACTTTTGACCTGACCTGAAACATTGTCCAGGCTGGAATCGAACTCGCATCTCTCGCTTCCCGTTCAGTTGTGCTAGCGATAACATCATCAGGGTACCGTTCCACCTTAAGTTAGCTTTCAGCACTATTCAGCGGTTATAGGGCAGAATCCCATTTAGCGATGATGCATTCCTCATTTCAATTTCACGAATGTTTGAAATGTCTAAAAAATCGATAAACAATATCACAATCCCCGATATCTCACAGTTTTTTGCACGCCCTCATAATATCGGTAGTAGTATAAGCTCTACGTGAGTAATATCGGTTTGAAGAAGACATTTGTGCGGAAAAATGAGATGAAGTTGCGGGTGAATATGGCGTCGGGGGGGGGCACTCCATTGTGCTGAGAATGTCCGACATACAATCCAACTCTCGCACGTGGTCAGTGGTCCACCCACTCTGAAGCTCCTCCTTGCACCATCCCCTCTTTCCCTTAAGGCCAGGCAAAATTTTCCTGCCCTTGGCCTTGAACTTAGCATGCTACTCTATATTACGGTGTAATCGAAGCTGACTTTCTTAATGTTATTGATGCCCTTACAGGAAGGTCTTTCAGGGTGTGCCAAGCTTTTTGAAAACGGTCTTTTGCATGATATAGGGGCACATGCGGGAACCACAGAACCATGGTTAATTTTTCCTGAACGGCCTCTGAATGGGGGTCCCTAATTTTTGAAACGTCAACTCGAAATGCAAAAATTTGTCACCACGAGGAATCGAACTAGGGACCCCTTTTCTGGTATTCAGAGGGCCGTTCAGGAAAAATGAACCATGCTTCTGTGGTCCCCATGTCATGCAAAAAACCATTTTGAAAAAGCTTGGCACACCCTGAACGACCTCCCTTGTTAGTTTTATTCTTATTGTTGGTGCCGTAGAACGCAATGAAGTGCTCCAGCTCCCCCCCCCCCCCCCCACAACCCTTCCACCGAAATTGTACAACCTCTACTACTTAATCAAAACTCGAACTTTCAGTGAAAGTCGTTGTGATTAGTATTCGTAATGCAGAGTGTTAGAGGGAGGCATTGTTTAAAAATTACTTGCTCAAAACTCAATAGAACATACAACTGTTATGGATTCGAATGCCATGAAAGGGTCATACCAAAGTGTCAGTTCCGGGATTTTCTTACCGAGCATGTCAACTAGATTGGTTTTGGAACTTCTTTGTATGAACTTGCGAAGCAACCTATGCACACAAGACTCGCGTTGATGGACGTACACATGGAGGAAGGAGGTGGGGATGAGCAAAGCATATTTTGTATATGAGTGATAGGTGAACGGGTAGTTTGAACCATGTTCGATCCCTCTCGGAACTTCTGAGATCCTTTGTTCTTCAGAATTCATTGGGACATGCGGATCGCACACAGGTGCAGCATAGTTCCTTAGGGACACATCCCGTGATCAGTTTATGGAAAATTCTTTCTTGGGGATGCAGTTGCTGGCTTCATAACTGCAGGTTGTGCCACTTTCGTGTCTCGAAACGCGTCACTGGGACGCTAGATCAGAACATGAATCTTCCGCGGATCCATGCACGCCTACCATGGCCTTATCTCATCTGCCTAGTGTCATAGATTTGCTGTGCTCTTCGTCGCATATTTTTTCTCCTCTATCTCTTAAGCACCCATTTTCTCTCATTTCACTGTCGTCTCTTACAAGGGGGTCTTTCAGGGCAAGCCGCGCTTTTTCAAACGGTTTTGCATATTGTAGGGACGCATGTATGGACCACAAAACCATGTTTCATTTTCGCTGAACGGTTTTAGTAGTACCAAAAATGAAGGTACTCTTGATGGTTCGATCCCCCGCGGCGACTAAATTTTGCAATCAAGGTTGGCGGCCACTTTTGGCTTCAAAATGGTCCTGACGATGAATATGACATCTGATTTTGACATTTAGCGCGATTTGGCACCAACCCGTAGGCGCCAACCCAAATGCAAAATTTAGTCGCCACGGGGGATCGAACCATTAACAGTACCTTATGCTTCTTTTTTGGTACTGCTAAAACCGTTCAGCGAAAATGAAACATGGTTTTGTGTTCCCTACATGCGTCCCTACAATATGCAAGAAACCGTTTTGAAAAAGCGTGGCTTGCCCTGAGAGGCTCCCCTTGTTAGACTCCTTCGTCGCGTTAACCAAAGAGGCTTCTATGGTCAATCATTTTGACTGTTTCTTTTTTTGGTGGTGGTCAAATGCACCCTCTCGATATTCAAGTGGAATTACAGCATAACTTGCCCGTAGGGTGCCCCTTTGATCCAAGTAGTTCAAACTGTTCAGCGCTGAATGCGCGATTCATGGCGATCCTCGTAAGGAGATTCAGTTCCTCATGATGACAAACAGTGGGCAGATGCATAGAAACCTTCCGCGTAGTGTGACATCTTATTGGGAATCCTTTTTTGACTGTAAAAGCATCGAAGCCTCGCAGAACTGGACCGCTTAACACT